TTGGTAAATATTTATGCTTATTAATCACTAATTAATATAATTAATTAACACTGATATCTCAATTACTGATCATCACAGTTGAATAAAATTTGGTACATAAATGCTCTAGGACAATAGACAGGCTGATTAATTTTGGGTTAAAATTTGTTCATATTAATTTTCTAATTAGCATAATAATTCATATTTTTTTTGTTCTGTTCTGTTCATATTAGTTACCTGATTTACATAATTAGTTTTCAGCTTTTCCATCAATATCTCACGTACAAGTAATTTTGAATTAATTTTTAATGAGTCTTCAATACTCTCAGCACACAGGAGTTCTTTCTAAGCTTTCTTTGATATTTTTTGTGCATGATCTGTCAGTTTTTTGCAGTAATTTGCCGACCCTGATTGGATTAGTCAATATAAGAATTTCAAATGATGCTTTTTTTTTCAAGATGCAGAAATTATTGAGGGTAGTGCACTTGGAGAAGATGAGGAGGAGGAGGAGGAAGAGGATGATGACCTTGAGGAAGGTAAGACATTGAGTCGTCTGTCCATCATTTGAGTAGTTTCCGTATGTCATTAGATGCACTTAGTTCCAGGAAACACTGCATCTTAAGTAATTTGTGTTCCCACAGTACTAGTACTTGGCTGAATAATTTGATTTAAAATATATCACTCTGATTATAAGAAAGAATAATGTATAGTTCCTATAAACGACCTACCTTACTTTTACTGCCAGACCCTAAATATTTTTTGGTCTCAAAATTGTGCTAGGCTTTGAATGAGATTTTATTGAAATTCAAACCTTAGCAAAAGGGTATTGTAAACAACTTTAAACATGGTTCATGGCACTCTTCTCTGGAAAAAAAATATATGGTAAAATAACAAATAAAATCCTACCTACCTAGTTTTAAAAAAAGCACAACAGTTTTTTCCTGCAGTGCCATATTGTAGTACCGAATAGTATAATGATTCAAATAATTTTCTTTAAATCTTGTTTCCTTATTGCAAATTTCAAGTAATTCTGCAGAAATAAAAATAAAAAAGTAGCACAACTTTTGCACAAATGATGGCTTGTAACTGAAATACTATGTATACATTGCAAACATCTTCACATTACTCTCTTGTTAACAAGGAAGCTAAGGAGTACACTGTATATGTAATATACATATATCACAATATTATACATTGAGCTCCAAAAATAATAAAATTGTTCCGTAAAAATCTGCACTCCTAAACATATCAGCACTCATTCAAAAGAATCTTCTCTTGAGTGAGATAACTACGCCACTAACAGAGAATCCAGTCACTGAATTCATATGTTTGCACAGCGCAAAACATTTTTCAGTGCAATTTGGACTATGATCTCACAAAATTATTACTACGAGCAGAAGAAAAATGTATAATAATCGTTATAAGAACATTGAAAATTATGCATTCGGGCATTACAAGGTTACATCAACTTCCACGATATGTCAGTTGATACGATCGCCTTTGTGTGTCACAGGTACATCAGATTCTTAAACAATCTCTCAAGCCTAAACTCACTAATTGCTGCTCAAGTCAATCAGTCAATCAATCAATATAAATGTTTTTGTTCAGATAATTGCAAGATACAAGACACAAATTTATTTGCCTAAAATTTATATCTATTCTTTTTTTACAAAACATTAAGCAGTCACTATTGACTAAAGGCAAATTATTTTCACAATTACAATATGATGCCCAGAAATTTTGGCTTGGGCTTTCTAAAATTATGCAGAATAACATGTGCAGTCAAGTTAGAAAATAGACCATTCTGTAATTGTAACGGATCTCATTTTATAAACACAAACCAGGCTAATGAAAAACAGCCCTCATTAGCGCCCTCTGGTGTCAAAAAACAAACACTAAATTTTAATATGATCACTAGAGAACAGTATGTACCGGTACTTCAAAATTTTTGATATCTTCCAAGTTTAACGTTTTTTTCCTAATGGGGTTCACTCAAGAGATCAATAATCATGCTCATTGTACATAGTGCCATCTGGTGACAACTATTTCATTTTGCTCGGGTCATTTTCAAAGATTCCTTGGCAAACAAACATTTGTGGATAGACTTGACTTTAGCAAGGGTGTGTTTTGCTTTATCTGAACGAATGCTCCTTGTCTTCATTATTTCAGGTGCGGAGGATGTCGAAGGTCAAGATGTGGAGGAAGGGGATGAGGAAGAGGTCAAAGGCGAGGGGGAATGAGGATTTTTTTTAACACCAATGAATTTAAAAAAAAAACATTAGTTTTGTTAATGTTGAAAGATTTTGTCTATTATTTAGTATTTTATAAACTATTAAAAAGAATACATTTTATTTCAAAAACTGTCAGAATCAATCTACCTGTCCATCCTGTGCCATTGTACATTGTTTATACATTTAATTCAAAATGTTTCCTATTTAAAACTATGGGTTGCCTAGCAACCAAGTCATGCTTCAACTCGATAATTCAATATAATATTTGTTTTGTTTTGATCATTTTAAGGTTTGAATTATTACCTAGCAACAGAGGTAGAAATCCACAATATCTTCTTCTTCTTCTCAACATTATCTGATATGATTCCCGTGCGAAGTATACAAAGCATGTAAATTTAGTTTACGTGAAATTAAACTATGTGGTGACTGTGTGTTATTATTAATGCAATAAGGAGAGTATGACGAATTTCTCTGGATATTCATGATGTGGTTGCCCTGAGCTGGCTTTTCGTAATTATGAATGAAATTTAGCTTGGAGCTTTAGATTAGTCTGAAGTGTAACTGCTTTGCATGGGAGAACAAAATTTGTATTCAGGGTTATTCCTTATCTCTTCTGCATCTTAAATAATTCACCCTCCCCCTTAACTTTGCGCACTCATGGATTGTTCCTAGCTAGAATTTATTCAAATTCATCAAAAGCTAGAAGTTGTGTAAGATTCTGTTTTACCATGCTCGTCCGACTTAACGCCCAGTGTATTCAGCTTCAAAAATTGTGTTTTTACCAGGAGTGGGCAATTAGTCAAGCATCCTGATTAGTTGTACATACAAGTAATGATTTCAGTTCAAGATGTGCCATATCTAGAAGAATTTAACGTTTCCTTGGAGAAAATAAAATTACGAAATGAGTTGTCATGTTTTAAAAATAAAAAATGGTCACAATGGTCTCTGAGGAAACGGTCAAAATGAAGGTCGTCATCACTATCATCATTGTTGAATGTTTTCGATTGTATGCAAACTCTAGTTGCAAAACAATTCCCACCATGATTTTTTCTGCTTGATTTGAACTGTACATGTGTGTTATTACCCAGAATGCTGTGTTGTACTGTTACAATTCTCTGGGGAATTCCTGGAAGCATTCTTGTAATGCAGTGCTGAATTGAATTGTCAAAGTATGATCTGTTGTAGTTTCTTCAAAAAATTGCATGATTTTTTTTTTTTAAAGTTTGTGATTAGCAATTTTTGACATTATTTACTGCCTTTAACAGGTCTTTGGCAAAGCGTAGTTTATTCGTTCACTTCATATTCACAGTCGTCAATATCCACGCTGTATTGATTACTGATATTGAAAGAGCCATACAATGTACGAAAAACAGATTTTATGACTAGACTGTCAAATTTTTGAAGGAATGTGTGCTTCTTCGAACGTGACCTCAAACAATTTTTAGAAATGCCCCGAAAGTGTGGGTTTAGACGCTTAGTAGTAGTTCATGGGCCATGTGTCGGTCGAGTATGTTAACATTATCTAAATGAAGGAGCATATGTAACAATAATGGCAAGAAAACTACATGCGCCTTTTCTTCAATATTGATTTTTGATTGCTCATGATCAGTGTTTTGTCACTAATATTGTTCTGTAAAAGCGTAAAACACATTCCTTATGGCAATGATGGCCAGTTTTTGCACTGTAAAGTTTATACTCCCGGTATTCGCGACAGAAATATTCATGTACATACGTTCCACATGCCCACTTTATCATAGAAAAAAATGACAAGCCTTATTGATCGTAAATTCTATGTTTGAACTCGGGCGGGGATTATGTTGAAGGTAAATTTTTTTTGTTAGTTTTTTCTGAAAGAAAGTAATTTGTGTTTTATTCATTACATTTCATAATTTGAAATATTTGTTTCATTGTGATGTCCAACCATCAAGTTGATGAGTATCTAGTGGACTTTTAACAAATTGAAATTTAAAAACGGCAAAATGTTAATTCTGACAGCAAGTTCAACCCACAATTTAATAACAATTTAAATAGCTATTGTGTAAATATGAAATTTGATAGATCAGATGTCATTTCTAGGAAATATTTGCAGCATTTAACTGTTGTATTGTTTTTTTCTTTTTTACAATTAAAGTAATAAAGAATTTTTTTTTATGTGAATGGGTACTATAGCAGTCAATTCTAAATTATCTGATTTTTATGTAGGGCAGTGAAAGCAATTGCTTCAGTCTTTGTAATATGTACTTGTCAATTCATTTCTTAGTACTGTATATTTTTTTTCCCATGGCTTGTTTCTGTAACTTTTTCAAAAATTAAAGTACAAAAGTCCCCCTCCCCTCCCCAATTCAAAAATAATTTTCTATTAAAAAAGACCAAAGATCATTTGTACTTACTTGAATTTTAGTCTATTTTGTTCATATTTAGTCTAGTTTGTGTCATGTCTAATAAGGGTTACTGCAGCTTATTGTACCCCCGAATACAATGGTTTTATTTTTGAACTAAATATACATGAAACATAATCCGTTACACTCTTATCCTAAGTATCGAATTTGTCTTTTTAATGTATTATGCGCATTAAAATGCTTATTTATGTAGATTTTATTTCTAATATTTCACCACTTTATTAAAATACATATAAAATATATGTAATAGTTTATGGAATTTGGTGAAGATGTGTATTGTACAATCAATGTTTATATACACGTGGGTGTATAAGTGCTCCAGTATCAGTTGAATCAACAGTTATAAAATCATCCACTATTTTCAGTGTTCAATGAATCTGCAGTTGTGAAATCACCATTGATTTTTCAATGTCTGATGATTCAGCAGTTATGAAATCCCTCACTTTTTTAGGTGTTCGGTGAATCGTCAGTTTGGAAATGATTATTTTCAAGATATATGTAATTTATGCTGCCATTTTACATTGAATCTAAGCCATCAAAAAAAACTAAAAATACACTAAAATATAAAATGTCCATTAAAAAAAAAAAAAAAAAACATCATTTTACGGCATCAAACAGGTTTTTTTGATAACATGTGACAAAATCTTTGTCCATGGTTGGTCACTTTAGTGAAACCCATTTGTTTGTTTTTTCTATAGGCTTGTATAATTGAGTGAAATAGTGCAGAAATGTTCTTGGGCTTCATGTACAATTCTAATAGACACTGGCAAGCACACATAAATCCACTGTGTTGTATCTCCTAATGTGAAGCCGTTTCACACATGCCTGGAAAGTTGAAGTTCAATTTCTCAAACTCTGATTGTCCAAATTCACGCACAGCTTTCAGCCGATACTTGACCGTGAGTGTTTGATATATATGCATATTGATGGATACTGCTAAAAAATAGTTTTGTTTTTTTTGGATGGGGCAACCAAATATCAAAACTGCTTGCCAATTGGGACAACTATGAAAATAATACAGAAATTCAAAAATATAACATGGTCCTATGTAGTGTTATCGTATCTCCATTTTATTAAAAAACATTTTTTTGAAGTCAGATCCTGACATGACTGATTGATGTTGTACCCGCCATTAATTATTCAGGTTTATATAATCGGATGAAAAAGTTGGTTTAAATGAATTAAACACTAAAAAATTATTGCACAACTACATATCATGGGGTCAACTAGTTTCTCGTAATGGTTGTCACATCCCGCTGAACAACCATGAATTTTCAAATTTAGAAGCATAACACTATCTTGGTATTTTTCTGAGTAACACATTCTGTTGTGTAAATGACACGATGCAAATAAAAAGTGAGATTACCCAAACTTGTTCCCATGGTTAACCCCCCCCCCCCCCCCCCCATCATTTAACCTTACTCTGATGCTCATTTTGAATTGAAAATTTGTCAAAATTCATATTTCAAAAAGTTGTTTTTCCTCAGGAATTTGTACAGCTTTTTCCGTCTCTTTATTAGTTTATTTTACTCAATTGTAAAGTATAATTCATCAATTTGAGTAAAACATGGTTTCCTTATAACATGCACGGCTACATTAGTAAAATAGTGTTATCTTTAGAACTAGGTATTTATTTTTTTCAGATTCAACTCACTTGCATGAACAACTAAGATTATTTCAGCATTCACTTCACATTATGAGATTCCAGTTATTGCCGTGACTACAGATTGTATTTCTTGAGAATGAGAGACATTCTGTTTAATGTTCAACTCACATGCTCTCTGCATGTAAATCAACATTCTAGACGAGTGTGATTATAATCCTGTGTACTGTACTGTATTTTTGGTCACTTATGCCTTTGAACCTTGCTCAAAATCAGAATGTATATTTTTAAATTTTTGTGATAGTTTACATACACATAAGGACCAGAAAACAATATTCATAATTCTTGTCACGGCTCTTTTTTAGTATTTTTGTTTTAGAAAAATTTACTTTTCATGAAAAACCCAAATTTAAGGACAATTTCAAAATAATATTCCCAGCCATGGGTGTTAAATTGACAAGAATTATTTTTTCTTGGCCTTAGAGTTTATCTAGTAATTCCTAAAATTGTTTAATTATTTATTGTACAGTTGACTAAATTGTGCCAAATAAGGGTTGGGTAGGGTTTATATAGTTCTATATATATACTGTGCATGATGTTGCATGTTTTGGAGATAGCTATGGATTGCCCAGATTAGGAACTTACCAAGTGATCTTTGTCTTTATTTGTTATAGGGGTGGATATTTTAACTGAGACAAGAAGGTTTTTTTTTGTCTGTAAGAAACTTGTTTACCAGCTGTAGAAACTTTTCAATAAATTTCCTGTTTGTAAAAAGTGTCTGTATTCAATGTTTTGAACTTAGTCCACTTGCACACATCGGGTAGAGATACTGTGTGACTAATGATGCACATAGAAGACACCCATTTATCATTTATTATAAATTGTGCTTTCCTTCGTCATCACCGAGTATACTTTTATCCTGTCGTATTTACGCTAACTTTCTTCAGCTCGCATGCAGCATGCAAAGGCAGCTCTCTTATGTGAACAGAATACTGTCTGCATGTAAAACAGAGCAGCTTCCTTACCTTACCAGAATAATATCTGCATGTAAAATAGAGCAGCTCCCTTACCTTACCAGAATACTATCTGCATATAAAATAGAGCAGCTCACTTACCTTACCAGAATATTATCTGCATAAACAATAGAGCAGCTCCCTTGCCTTACCAGAATATTATCTTCATATAAAATAGAGCAGCGTGCTTACCTTACCAGAATACAGTCTGCATATAAATAGAGCAGCTTCCTTACCTTACCAAAATACTATCTGCATATAAAATAGAGTAGCTCCCTTACCTTACCAGAATATTATCTGCATATAAAATAGAGTAGCTCTCTTACCTTACCAGAATACTATCTGCATATAAAATAGAGCAGCTCCCTTGCCTTACCAGAATATTATCTGCATATAAAATAGAGTAGCTCCCTTGCCTTACCAGAATACTATCTGCATATAAAATAGAGTAGCTCCCTTACCTTAACAGAATACAGTCTGCATATAAATAGAGTAGCTCCATTACCTTACCAGAATACTATCTGCATATAAAATAGAGTAGCTCCCTTACCTTACCAGAATATTATCTGCATATAAAATAGAGTAGCTCTCTTACCTTACCAGAATACTATCTGCATATAAAATAGAGCAGCTCCCTTGCCTTACCAGAATATTATCTGCATATAAAATAGAGTAGCTCCCTTGCCTTACCAGAATACTATCTGCATATAAAATAGAGCAGCTCCCTTGCCTTACCAGAATATTATCTGCATATAAAATAGAGTAGCTCTCTTACCTTACCAGAATACTATCTGCATATAAAATAGAGCAGCTCCCTTGCCTTACCAGAATATTATCTGCATATAAAATAGAGTAGCTCTCTTACCTTACCAGAATACTATCTGCATATAAAATAGAGTAGCTCCCTTGCCTTACCAGAATACTATCTGCATATAAAATAGAGCAGCTCCCTTGCCTTACCAGAATATTATCTGCATATAAAATAGAGTAGCTCTCTTACCTTACCAGAATACTATCTGCATATAAAATAGAGCAGCTCCCTTGCCTTACCAGAATATTATCTGCATATAAAATAGAGTAGCTCTCTTACCTTACCAGAATACTATCTGCATATAAAATAGAGTAGCTCCCTTACCTTAACAGAATACAGTCTGCATATAGAGTAGCTCCATTACCTTACCAGAATACTATCTGCATATAAAATAGAGTAGCTCCCTTACCTTACCAGAATACAGTCTGCATATAAATAGAGCAGCTTCCTTACCTTACCAAAATACTATCTGCATATAAAATAGAGCAGTTCCTTTACCTCACCAGAATACTGACTGCATATAAAATAGAGCAGCTTCCTTACCTTACCAGAATAAAGTCTGCATATAAATAGAGCAGCTTCCTTACCTTACCAGAATACTGTCTGCATATAAAATAGAGCAGCTTCCTTACCTTACCAGAATGAAGTCTGCATATAAATAGAGCAGCTTCCTTACCTTACCAGAATACAGTCTGCATGTAAAATAGAGAAGCTCCCTTACCTCACAAGAATACTATCTGCATATAAAATAGAGTAGCTCCCTTGCCTTACCAGAATGTTGTCTGCGTATAAAATAGAGCAGCTTCCTTGCCTTACCAAAATACTATCTGCATATAAAATAGAGCAGCTTCATTGCCTTACCAGAATACTATCTGCATATAAAATAGAGTAGCTTCCTTGCCTTACCAGAATATTATCTGCATATAAAATAGAGCAGCTTCCTTACCTTACCAGAATATTATCTGCATATAAAATAGAGTAGCTTCCTTGCCTTACCAGAATATTATCTGCATATAAAATAGAGTAGCTCCCTTACCTTACCAGAATATTATCTGCATATAAAATAGAGCAGCTCCCTTGCCTTACCAGAATATTATCTGCATATAAAATAGAGTAGCTCCCTTACCTTACCAGAATACTATCTGCATATAAAATAGAGCAGCTCCCTTGCCTTACCAGAATATTATCTGCATATAAAATAGAGTAGCTCTCTTACCTTACCAGAATACTATCTACATATAAAATGGAGCAGCTCCCTTACATTACCAGAATACAGTCTGCATATAAAATAGAGTAGCTCCCTTACCTTACCAGAATACTATCTGCATATAAAATAGAGCAGCTTCCTTACTTTACCAGAATACAGTCTGCATATAAATAGAGTAGCTCCCTTGCCTTACCAGAATGTTGTCTGCGTATAAAATAGAGCAGCTTCCTTACTTTACCAGAATACTGTCTGCATATAAAATAGAGTAGCTCCCTTACCTTACCAGAATACTATCTGCATATAAAATAGAGCAGCTCCCTTGCCTTACCAGAATATTATCTGCATATAAAATAGAGTAGCTCCCTTACCTTACCAGAATACTATCTGCATATAAAATAGAGCAGCTCCCTTGCCTTACCAGAATATTATCTGCATATAAAATAGAGTAGCTCTCTTACCTTACCAGAATACTATCTGCATATAAAATGGAGCAGCTCCCTTACATTACCAGAATACAGTCTGCATATAAAATAGAGTAGCTCCCTTACCTTACCAGAATACAGTCTGCATATAAAATAGAGCAGCTTCCTTACTTTACCAGAATAC